CCATGGCCATATATGCCAAGTGCTTAAACCACCACATAAACCAAACAGAACAAGAGAACACTACATCGGTAGGTTCATCAGAGCCTTCCGGTAGTACTCTAACTTCTCTCTGCCAAGGACCTTGGTCAGCATGTCGGCGTGCTGCTCTCCAGTCGGAACACACTCTGCAGTGATCTTGCCCGACTTGAATAGCTCGCGAATGAAATGGAACCGCACGTCGATGTGCTTGTTGCTCGCTGAGCTGAACGGGTTCTCGATTATGGCTAGAGCCCCCTTGTCCTCAAGGACCTTGATCTTCGCCCCACTCGTCTCGGGCGCTATGAACGACAGAACGCCATGCACAAACAACGCCTACTTCACGCCCTCCCCGGCTGCCATATACTCTGCTTCCGAGGTCGACTGAGCCGTCACTGGCTGCGTCTTGGTGGATGCACACACTACGGTACCATCTACGGCCACAGCTAGCCCGGTCGTAGAACGCCCGTCTACTTCGTTGTCAGCGTAGCTGGCATCAACAAACACGCTTAGGTCTAGTCCTGACCCCCGTACGTAGGTGATGCCGAAGTCCTTCGTGAAGCTCAGGTAGGACATGATCCGCACAAGCGCGTTCCATATCCTCCCGGTGGGTGAGTGGGCGATCTTCTGGAGCTTGTTCAGAGGCAGGGCGATGTCTGGCCTCGTCAGCTTCGTCCACATCAGGCATCCGATCGCCTCCCTCACAGGCTTATCCGCCGCGGGCTCGTCATCTCTCTTCGGCCCTAGGTCGGCATCGGTGGCAGCAGGGGTGAAAGCGGTCGTGGTCACATCAAACCGCTTCAGCATACTCTCAATGTATGCTGTGTGGGACAGCTTGGCGATGCCATTTTCTACATCCATGGCGGTAGCACACCCGTCGTACCAGGTACACTCCCCCAGATCTTTCACCGGAACCTTCTTGTTGAGGGAAGCGAACAACTCCTCTCGCTCTCCCTCGTCTGCCGCCACTAAGATGTCATCAACGTAGATCACGATGAGACCTACGACCTCTCCATCCACCACCTTCCGGAAGACACACGGGTCAACCCTGCACTGCTCGTATCCATTCTCGATGAGGGCATCAGCAGCTTCAAACCCCCACTCACGGCCACTCTGCTTTGGGCCATACAGGGCACGCTCAACCTTGACCACCTTGCCGGACATGCCACGACAGCCTTCCGGGAACCTGAGGTATATTTCTTCTTCTAGCTTAGCGTGGATGTACGCTTGCTTCACATCCCAGTGAGCGAGTTTCTTGCCCTTTTCAGTGGCTACGGCAATCACCGTCTTGATAGACGCTGCAGACGGGCACGCTGAGGATGAGTGGTGGAAGTCGATGCCGGGGATTCGAGAGAAACCCCGCGCAACCATACGGGCCTTGAAGTCGACTATCAGGCCCTTCTCATTCGTCTTCCAAGAGAACACCCACTTTGAACCTATGGCCTTCCGCCCCTCGGGCAGCTCCTTGACCTTGGAAAAGGTTCCAGGCTTGTCGTGGTCATCTATTTCGTTCTCCATGGCCGCCTCCCAGAAAACCTTGTACTTGGAACACATCACATCCTTGTACGTCATCGGTACTGCTTCCACATCACTCGGCTTCTGCCCGATTGGCGAGGTCATACTTAGCTGTTGGTCTGGGAGTGACCCGCTGGCGTCGACCTCGGCCCCGAACGCCTGCTGTTCCGGGCCCAACACCTCCTGCATCTCGCGCCTGTACATCTCCTCCATACGGCGTGTCTGCTCCTAGTCCCACTGCTCCTTCACAAGCGATTTGCAGATGTAGTCCTCAACAATCCCCGTCCCGCCAGTTTCCAGGATGGTCGCCAGCAGTGCCTCTTCCGGGTCCGGTGTTTCTCCGGGCCCCGGCATCTCCCCGGCACCTTGCATCTCCCGGGTCTGCTTCCGCGTGCGGCCACTCTCAAGCCCATGGCGCAGCGGGCCAGCGTTCGAGGCGCCCCAGAGGAGTTTCTTCCCTTCTAGCCCGCGGGGGTAGCGGTCGTCGGCTGGATCATACTTCAACTCCTCGAGGTTCTCGGAGTCGCCGGCATCACCATCGCTACCGCCGTCCCCTCCTGGGTCGCCGGACTCTTCGCCGCCCGGGCCGCCGGCACCGCCGGCGTCACTGCTGCTGCTGCTCGGGCTGCTGCTGCTGCTGCTGCTGCTGCTGCCGGTGGGGCTGTCACTGCCTCCGCCGAAGTCGCCCCTTCCCGAAGGGGGCGACGGGGGAACGCTGCCTCCGTCCCCCGGAATCCCGTTGCCGGGTGCCGTCGGCGCCTCCTCGCGCACAAACGGCGTCGCTTGCCCTGGCCCACGAGCCTCCATCACGTCGAGGTCGGACTCACTCTCTGAGTCTCTCTCCCCCCCCCAACCTTGGCGTGATGCATCCGCTCTGCTCTTGCCCTCCCCGCCCTCCTCGTCGTCTGCGAGAGGTACCAGCTGCGGGGGAGCGGGCGATGTAGCGGGCACGTGGCGCCAGGTGAAATTGCGGGTGCTGATTACGGCTCCAGCTTCGGTTAGCATGCGAACGCAGTCACGGGGGTGATTGTGGGCAGGACCAAGGTACCATCCTTTTTCGCCCTTGGGTTGCGACTTTGCTTTTCTTCTCGACTTGAACACGGCTGGTTTGAGAAACGGGTATGTAGACCCGACAGGCGGTGGGGAGTCGTGGAACATCTCGTAGGCGGATTTGTCTCCCTCGTTTGATTTAGTGGCGGTGCAGTTCAGCTGATGGCATGCACACGAAATGGCCTCGGCCCACAACCCGGGGTGGTTCGGTGCGTCGGGGAACAGTTGCGTCGCTGGGATCAGTGACGCAAGCGCGGCATCAGTGATCAACCCTAGCGCTCTCTCCGCTACACCGTTGTATTTTGGGGTGTGAGGGGGGGTGAACTCTTGTTTGATGCCGTGTCTGCGGCAAACTTCCGCAAACTGCCCCTGAAACTCGCCGCCACCGTCGGTACGTACGATATAAACCTCACACGGAACCCCTTTCGATCGGTAGTCCGCCAGGAACTTCTCAAACCCAACCGCTGCGTCAGATTTGTGCTTCAAGAAGAAAACACGCGTCCAACCGGAGAAATCGTCTCTGATGATCAGTGTGTACCAGTTGCCACCAATGCTCCTCGTTTTCATTTTTCCGCCCAAGTCGAGATACACGCGAAATAACTTCTTTACTGCGCGTGTGCTCGTGCTCTTCTGGACGGGTTTCACCTGTCCCGTGGACATCGAACAGCCAAGACAGGGTAGCAGCGGTCCATCCGTTAGCTGCACTCCCTGCTGTTCCGCCGTGATCCTGAGCAACGTCTCGTGGGCATGGCCTTGCGCGAGGTGGTACTCGTTGAGGTCAGTGGGGGTGGCTGCTTTCGCATCGCCAGGAACAATGAGTGCGGCACAGGCGGTGTGTAGCGTTGGCTATATTTGATAGCCTTGTTGGGTCAGCAGCTTTCCAGTCCGGGGGAACCACACCCCCCCCCGGCTTTCGTGGTCAGCGTGAGCCCCCCCTTCATCCCCGAATACGTGTGGCCCTCCTCCGCCAACGAAGACAGCGAGAGGAGGTTGTAGGGGGCCTCTGGTACTTGGGCAGCATTCAGTACTGGTGCGGGTACTCCACCATCTTCCGTCTGAAGGACTAAGGTCACATCTCCGTATCCTAGAAGAGGAACGGGGGCCTTGTCGCCTCCGATCCCCTTCACCCAACCGCTTCGCTTACGGTAGTTCACGAAGTTGACTGCACATCGGAACATGGAGCACGTGGCCGCTGTGTCGGCCACGTACACCGCCTGGTCTTGTTCCACAACCCCCACTAGACCTACTTCACCAACGGTACCACACTCGCCTGGGGGGACTGCCACGGCACAAAACGCCTGGTCTTCCACGGAGTCCACGTCGCTCTCATGCTCCACCACTTGCGCTAGGACGGCCTCCTCCGTCGCGCACTTTTCTTTGGTGTGGCCCCACCCCTCGCAGCGCGCACACCACGGCACGAAGTCCTTCTCGTTGGTAGTGCAGCCGATCGCTTGATGTCCACGATGCCCATACCTAAAGCACCGGCCCGGGAACTTATAGTCCCCGGCACCGTCGCCATCGGCGCCTCCACTGCTGCTTCCCTTGCTCTCCTCGACTCCTCCGGATCCGCCTGAGCGGCCGGCGCGACCGCCGCCGCCGCCGC